ATTTTTTTCCATCCTGACAATGCACTTACTCATTCTTCAAGGGTGATTGTCCTACAAAAATCGTGTTGGAAAACCGTATTCCATCCACATAACCATCCTGACTTTTGCCCCTTCAGATTTTTTTTGTTCCCCAAACTCAAAGAACATCTCAAAGGAACATGACTTGAATCCTTCAATGATGCTAAAATTGCCATTGTTGTGGTATATATCAGAGCACTAAATTCTTGATAAGAGTTACAGATATGGAAACCTTCTGAAATATGTAGACTTAGATGGTAAATATGGGAACCTTCTGAAATATGAAGACTTAGATGAAGAGGACTTGAAACATTTACTTATGAAGATCAAAGAGCACAGCCTTCCATATGGATTACATCTCAATGTCTAGAAAAAAAAACAAAAAACCTCCTCACCACTGGACCAATAAACAACATTCTTATCAATGGAGAAAAGATTGAAGTTGTCAAGGACTTCATTTTTCTTGGATCAACTATCAACACTCACGGAAGCAGCAGTCAAGAGATCAGACGACGTATTGCATTGGGCAAATCTGCTGCACAGGAACTTTTTAAAGTATTGAAGAGCAGAGATGTCAACTTGAGGACTAAGGTGCACCTGACCCAGGCCATGGTGTTTTCAATAGCCTCATATGGATTCGAAAGCTGGACAGTGAATAAGGAAGATCATAGAAGAATTTATGCCTTTGAGTTGTGGTGTTGGAGGAGAATACTGAAAGTGCCATGGACTGCCAAAAGAACCAATAGATCTATTTTGGAAGAAGTGCAGCCAGAGTGCTCCTTGGAGGCTAGGATGGCTAAACTTTGTCTCTCATACTTTGGACATATTGTCCGGAGGAAATAGTCGCTGGAGAAGGATGTCATGCTGGGTAAGGTGGAGAGGGTCAGAGCAAAAGAGGAAGACCCCTAACGAAATGGATTGGCCAGGTGGCATCATTGATGGCGTCAAGTGTGGCGGCGGTAGTGAGGTTGGCTCAGGATCGGACATTGTTTCGTTCTGCTGTGCATGGGGTCGCTAAGAGTCAGTTCCGACTCGATGGCACCTGACAACAACAACAGATAGTAAAACAAGAGCTTCATGTTTCGATATTTTTGTTTAATAAAGGTTTTTCTATGACTTTGTGGCAATACTCTCTGACTTACCCTCATATCCCTAGGATTGTGCTTATCCAGTAGACATTTCTCTTAAGCTGTCCATTGTAAAAGAAATGACATGTTGGTTTCTATGAGAAATTCTCCAGATCTAGAGACACACAGGCTCTCACACAATTTCTGGCCACATCCCAAAGGGCAAGGAAAATGCTGCCACTATCCTGGCATCACACTCAACTTCTGGAGAACACGGAGTATAATGGAAGGAAAAACTACAGAATCCATGGGCTCAGAAAGGATACACGACTGCATACGTGTAGGAATTGTCCCATCCCAAGGTGCTATGAGTCAGAACTGACTTGACAACACTTAACCACCACAACAGTGTCATGTTATGATACTCCATGCTCTCCTGTGTTAAACAGGACATTATCCTTTACTATTTATAAGAAACTTGAAATGTGCAAAATAAAGAAAAATTAGGCATCCCAAAATATATTTGCTTTCAAATTCCACATTTACCCCCACCCTCACTCCCCCCAGAAGCAATTTCATTAGCCTGGAGAGTAATCTCATTCATTCACTCATGTATCCCCTGAAGACTCATTGGCAATAGAAGAAGTTTGAAGGAAAGCACATTAATTTTGAACCTTGATCTTAACTCACATGAGCTGTGTGACCTTAGGTAAGTTAGTTGACCTATCTGAGTCTACAGTTCTCCATGGAAAAAAATAACATCATCTTCATTGGACTGTTGCCACGATTAAAAGGGATCATTTGGTGAATCACATAGCTCAGAACCATTCTCCTCCACCTCTTTCCCATCATCTTCCTTCCATTTTTATCATCTTACAGAGTTCTCCTGGTGTGGTGCTGTAGCATCAACACTGGTTAAGGTCAGCAGTTCAAACCAACCAGCTGTTCCTCAAAAATCCCTATACAGGGTTGCTATGAATCAGAACCGACTTGATGGCACTAACAACCCTGTACAGGGTTGCTATGAATCAGAACCGACTTGATGGCACTAACAACCCTATACAGGGTTGCTATGAATCAGAACCGACTTGATGGCACTAACAACCCTATGCAGGGTTGCTATGAATCAGAACCGACTTGATCAGCAAAGGGATCTCAGAGAGTTCTCCCCGACATTCCCCTCTCTGGTCATCACAACAACTTGCTGTAATAATCATGGCAGATATCATTGTTCTGGTTTTGAGACAAACAAAGCCAATTTATTGAATCATTTGATTTCACGGGAGACTAGATAATGATTTTTTTTCCTATATGATAACTTATTTTGAAATACGCTTACCCCTCAAGGAGCACAGGTCAAATAGTGGATTATGAGCTGGACTGCTAACCATAAAGTCAGTAGTTCAAATCTACCAGTTCCTCTGTGGGAGAAAGATGAGGCTTTCTGCTCCCATAAAGATGTATAGCCTCGGAAACCCTATACAGGGTTACTGTGAGTTGGAACCCACGCCATGGCACACCACCACCACCACCTCTCCCCCTGGATTGACAAAACTTTCTCAGACTCCTCAACTTCTTGGTTGCTTTCATCTGTTAAAGGTCTTTCCAAATTTAAGTCTTCCTCCCTCCAGCACCAATCTAGTTAACAGCTTGAAAGACTGAAAATGACAAAGAGGCTGTTCTGCTCCTTTGCTGCCACTGGGTCCTCCCTTCAGTATAACTCAGCCTCAGCGAGTACTTAGCTCATAAAAACCCCTCAAACTAAGCTTTGCTGGAGTTGGAGGGTCCTTGGCAAAATCAATGCTGTGCTCTCAAGGACTTAATATCCTCCCTCAACCCATATGAGTTAGGACACAGCAGGTTATAGTACAGTAATAAACAGCCCCAAGGAACAACTCCTCCTCCTCACTGGTGGCTCTACCTCCTCTGGTGATTTGGGGCTATAAGGCAGAGGGAAAGAGACACAAGTCTTAAACACTGTTTCTGGCCTTCCCATTATGTAGGTCATTGCTGCTTCTCTGAGTATTGATACCTCATTTCTGTTACCTGTAAGGCTACTCCTGAGGATCCTAGAGGGGCTCCTCCCTGTACAGCTCCCTGAAGTAGATAGCTGCCTTCACATAACTACAGTCAACTTCAAAGTGCAGTCTTACCATATGCCTGGGCAGTGCTTAATGCTCAGCTGCTAATCAAAAAGTTGGAGGGTTGGACTCCACCCAGATGCACTTAGGAAGAAAGGCCTGGCAATATACAGTCAGAAAAATTAGTCACTGAAAAGATACCAATCATCTCTTTAGTGGATAGTTCTGTGGGTTGGAAATTTGAGCTAAACTCAGCTGGACAGTTCGGGTCTCAGCTATACTCCCTTATATGTGCAGTCATCAGGGGAAGTCTTCCTTCTGGGTTCTGGGGTGATGGGGCTTGGCTGGGCCATGTGTTTCTCATCATCCTTCAGGTTAACTTGAGTTTGTTCACATGGAAACTTGGAAGGATTACAAGGAGGAGGAGAGACCTCTTGAATCCTAGGTTTAGGATTAGCTTGAGGTTGACTCTGACGTCTTCTATTGGCCCAATTCTCAAAGCCAACTCTAATTCAAGGGGTGGCCAATCGACTCTACCTTTGAAGGAAGGATGTGACTAATTACATCCGAAGGGTAAGGGGAGGATAGAGAAGTGTTAACTCTTTGCATTCTGCCTCAGACACTAATGACCACCACACCAGACTGGCCTTCTGAGATATAAATTTTGGAATTGAAGCTGAGATGGCTGGGGTTGACAAGGTCAGGTCTATTAATCTTATATGTCCTGTCAGGGTATCTAAGCACAGTTGATTGGGGACTTTATTACAAAAGAATGTTTACTACCATTTTGTTTGCAGCTTTGGGCCATAGACAAGTTTCGGGTCAGCAGGAACAGTTCCCATAGAAATTCAGTTACAAACAGAAACCATCTTAAAGATGAGGTGACCTGCAGCAAGTTATGCAGCTAGTAAATGGTTCGTTTTCTTTACCTGGGTGGAGGTAAACTATATACAAAACATGTGATGAAAGGAGTATCGCAAAGAAGAGACTCTGGTAAGGCACCTGTGGCCGAGAGGCAGGTGTACAATGGCAAAAGTTATGGCTGGAGCTGCCATCGGGGCCAGAACCTGCCAATCCATGGGGCCCATGACAAGGAATTTAATCTTTAAATGTAAGGGAAAAAAAAGAAAGATTTTTGAAGGATTTTGGATAAGCAGTTCACATCATGACCCCCCCCCCCCCAGTCCTTTTTTTTCAACATGAAGACTGAAATACAGGTGCAGCCTGGGCCAAACCCAGACTTTTAGCATCCAAGCTAAAAGCAAGTTATTTTCCAAACCTATTTTAGTGCCTCTTCATAAATCATAAAGGCAAAGGAGGAATGGTCTAGCTTGCCACGGCCATAAACAAGAGGATAGGTGCACACACAAGCTGTTACCCATTTGAGAGTTTCTGGTTTGTCTTTTCTAGATAGTTAAGGCAGCTGATAGTCAAACAAAGGCCTTTTCTACTTTGCTGTGTGCCAAGAGAAATGGCTACTAAATTGTCAGAGAAGGAAAAGCCAACTGCAGACAAACTAGCCTTTGAGCTCCTGAGTTTGTATACTTAATATTTCCAGTGATCAATTTCAAAAGTGAAAGGTGTCAAAACTCCATTGTCATGTAACATTTGATCAGCACATTGGTGGGTACAGATTGAATATTGAGGAAAGTAACAGGGGCAGATGCAAAGGGAAAATCGGACCTCATTTTGCTAGCTGGCTTGGCACTGGCACAGAGGGGTAAGGACTGAGGGTGACTGGGGAGCTATGCAGTGCATGGAGCAGGCCTCACCCCCCACAGCATGAGTCTGCACCATCGATCGTAAGAGAGACTGTTCTGTCATTGCATTGCAGCTCCAGAAACTAAAACGATCACTTTCTTTCAAGACCAAGAGTTTACGGAGCAAAAGTGCTGACAACTTCTTCCAGCGAACCAACAGTGACGCGAAGCTGCAAGCAGACATGCCGGCTGAGGTCAGCCCCAGCTCCAGCCCACTTCCTGCTTCTGGAAGCCTGATGTCCACACCCACCAGGACTGGTCTGCACCCAGGTAGCGGAAAGGCCCATGCCTTTCAGGAACACATCTTCAAGAAGCCCACCTTCTGTGATGTCTGCAACCACATGATTGTGGGTAAGGCCTCCCCCTTCCCCTTCCTCCAGGTCCCAGTGCCTCCTGGGAAGCTGAGGGAGAGTGGAGTACCACAAGCCCAGTTCCCCACATCTCTGGCAGTTTATTGGGGAATTCTTTGGGGAATTTGTAAAAAGATAAGAGAAACAGGACTGGGCAGGGGAAAAAGGTAAGTTGTAAAAGAACTGTAAGAAGACTTTCAGTCAGTCTCGCAGAAAACTCTGAAGTCCTTTTTACTTATTGGGTAGTGAGCCAAGGGGGCTGGGTCTTTGTACTCCCGCCACATGTCATTGCATATGAGCAGCTCCTGAAAACAAGGTATAATCTTGAACTAAGAAGCTCCTTTTGTCCAAAGGCGATTAGTAGGGAGGGACTTGGTGGATAGTTTGGGGGGATGAATGATTCCGTTCTCTTCAATGTACCATGGGAACCATTGCAATGCATGTGGTGTATGTCTGTTTAGAGTAAGTTACAGGTAAATGGCCCAGACAGGCAGGTGTGCAGATAGAGGATTCTGGAGCTAGGAGTCCTTGGAGAGCCACCGGACTAGACAGAAAATGTGATTCAGCCTCCTCAATAATTTTTTCCCAGTAATGGTAGATCAGAGAAAAAATGGTAGCCTGGCAGTCTTAGGGCTATACCCAGTGGAGACAAGAGACTAAAAAATGTCCTAGCTAGAAAGGAAAGACAATATTTCCTTTCTAGCTAGGATGTTTTTAGTCCCTCGCCATTTAGAGCCACATGCATGGCGATTTTAGTCCCTTGCCATTGAGAGCCACGTGCGTGGCGATTCCACAGGTCACTGTCTTCTGCCTCACCTGTGTCATAAATCCAGTGACCAAACAGCAGAACCCATAAAGGGAATCTGAGTAGGATCAAGAACGATGCCTTACACCAGTTGTTTCAAACAAGGACACTTCTTGGTAAATTGACGAAACAATCACTATAGAACCAGGGAAAAAGGGGAAGAAGATAGGTCATGTCTACTCTCAAGGGGGATTAGGGGAACAAACCTCTGTTGGAAGCAGGCAAAAGGCAGAAAGAAGTCTTGTATTAAGAAAGGAAAATGACGCAGAAAATCCAAAGCCAAGGCTGACCCAGCCTTGCACTCTTTTTTTCTAAGATGGTGCTGATACCGCAGATAAGTAGCCTATCAAATCTCTGCACTGCCTGGAAGAATGCTGAGGGAAGGGAACAACATGCAAACCAGGGCATGCGAGAGAGACTGTTCCTACCTGTGGCTCTTGCTCATATACATCCTGGAGGCTCCAGCATTAGGCCTGTACGTTCAATGCTTCCGGGAAAAAACACTGTTCACATCAAGAGCTCTGGCTTCTCTGACTGGAAACCAGGGCCTAGGTGACCCTAGACAAAAAAAAAAAAAAAAAATTTTTTAGCCTTACCTTCTATCACCTCTTGCAAATTTATTATTACCTTAGAATTCTGGAAGTCAGAGCCCAAACTGGGTCTCACT